CAAAAATATATGTCATTGAACAACAGGCCACCCCTGAATTATTTTGCACAATTTCATTTAAATCATTCTGACTAGACATTTCTGGAGCAATTGAGGTGGTATTATTTTTTTGTTTCTCCTTGCTTTGTTTTTTCTAACCTTTAATATAAGAGGTGATTTCTAAATATTACAGGTTTATTTCTGAAATTCAAAAATGTGCAACATATGTATTCCTCTAATACATTTCTCCTTTTTTAAGCCAAGACTTCAGGGGAAGCCCTCCCTGATGTTTGTGTAGTGTGTCTGTTGGGACAGTGCATGCACCCTGTCCATGACAAATCAGTCTGTAGTTTCGAAGTTCCCATGTGTGGGTCTTTTTTTAATCAAAGTCTGCTCCGCCAAAGGGTGTGTTTTCTGATGTTTTGCAGTCTTGGTGCTTATCTGCACTCTTCACACTTCGAAGTCTAAATCCACAGCTCAGGGATACCTAGCAGCAAAGTTGGAGGCTGAGTTGTTCCAAAAAGATGACGTAGGCACAGTCCTTCTGATTTCTTCATTGAGAAAACTTGATCGGGTAGTTCTAATTCACACCTGAACAATGTTGGGCAGGGGGGTGCTTTACCCATCACAGGTGCCAATTACATGGCTGAGAAGCGGAGCCAGAGTTTACCCCTGGAGTAGCCCCCTTCCATGGCATGACCTACCTATTCACTCATTCACTTAGAGTTCATGTGCATCATTCTGTGCCAGGGTGTGCCCTCAGTGCTGGGGGGAGCAGGGCCTCTGTCTTCAGGGGGACAGAAATTTGATCTTTATATCCAGGGGGAGGAGGCAATCAGAAACAAACAAGATTTCCAAGTGTACTGGGTGCGATAGGGATTTCAGCACGTAGATTGATAAGATCTAGAGTTGCACAGAGAGGGGCCATTTGAGCTGAAACCTGAAGAATGAAAAAGAAGCAACTATGGGAGGGTCCAAAGAAAGAACTTAGCAGGCAGAGAAATGTCAGTTGCAAAGAACCGTGTGAAGGGTGGGTGGTGAAGCAGGAGCAAGCGGACTGCTATGCCTTAGGCATGGACAGGGAATGCCCTGCAAGAGCAACAAAGCAGAGAGGCCAGGCCCAATCCTCACACTCTATGGACAGGGAATGCCCTGCAAGAGCAACAAAGCAGAGGCCAGGCCCAATCCTCACACTCTGTGCTAAGGGCTTGAATTTTATTGTAGGTGCAGCAGAATGACATTGCAGGAGTTGAAACAGAGCAATGTCACCACCTAATACCTTTCACAAGGAATGTGCTAGCAGTTCTTTGAAAAACAGGCAGGAGTCAGTCAGTCACCCAAGCGAACAACGATGGTGGACCCGGCAGAGCGGAGGCCGGGAGTGGAGTGGAAAGTAGCTCTCGTGTGGGTCGCTCATGCATAGCACTGACAGGGTTTGCTCATGAGTCAGCTGTCCTGGCAACGGAGACGCTCCCTGTGGCCAGAGTCGGACAGTGGGAAGGGAGGAAATGAGGAATTTAGTTCGGAATGAAAGATCTTTTACCTGGAATCAAGGAGATTCTACGGATCTTATCCGGTGCATAAGCTTTAGTCCTTTCTCACCGTGTCTCAGTGGAATTGCAATCGTCTTCTTTTGCTAAATAAGTATTCATAAGAATCAACTTGCCACTCATCCACTTCACCAAGGCTCACACATGAAGCAAGCTTATTAAACAAATCATCGGGAGAGAAAGAGAGAGAGAGACAGATGCTCATTATCCGGCCCAATCACCCCCTTCTGGCTGCCCTCCCTCTCCCGCCTCAGCTGCCCATGGCAGACAAAACCACTTAAGTGAGGTGAGCAGTTCTAAATGTAGATTAACATGTGTTTTTAAAAATTACTTGGAACCCGCCGCCATTGTTCTAATACACTGACTTTGACGGATGCTTCGGCACTTTTTTTATGAGGCTCTTCAATGCGTTACCTTATCGGGTGCATAAGCTTTAGTCTGTCCTGCAGAAGAAAACAGACAAGAAGGGTCTCCCAGCACGAGTTACTCTCCTGTAAAGGCGATAGTAAACATGCTAATGCCTAATTAAGCAGAAAATTCTATCTGTACTGCGGGGGAGGTGCTGGCTGCCTCCGACTTCTCTTCTGGGGAATCCATTTAGAAGGACAAAGTGGATTGTGGAATTGAGCTGGTCCAGAGAGCTCAGCTTCCAACTGTCAGCAGAAAAGAAAGAACACTTCTCTCCTCCTTGTGCAAAAATGACTACACAGGCTGGGGTGTGTGTTTGGGGGGGGGGTGCACATGCACACACATGTGTCTTTCATCAACCCACACAAAATAACATGAATTACTTCCCAGCTTCCCACTAAGTATCAGGCCCTGTGCTAGGCACTGAAAATACTGAGACGAAAAACCTTAGCAACGCCCTTAGCCAGCTGTGATGACAGAAAGCCCTCTTTTTTTCCTAAATGTATTCCCTTCTGTGTGTGTGTGTGTGTCTGTGTGTGCATGTGCGCACACATTTTTCCTTGTGTCTATAGTACATTCCCCATACATGTGGTGACTATGTCTTAGCCGGAACAGTAGTCTTGGGTCATGTGTGTTGTCCCAGAGCAAGAGTGACAATGCCCCTCTAGTTCTCAGGAGGGATCCCTCTTGGTTGATAAAATTTGCCCAATTCTTTGAAGCACTTTGGTTGGCTCTGTAACAATTTTGTTTATTAATTTCGTAATAGATGTTCTCCTTGAACTTAATGATATGACTCCTTTTGCAAACATACAAATTAGTCCAAGAAAAAAGAAAATTCGGTGAGGATGAGGGGGTCATCTAATTCAGTCATTTGGCTATTTTTGAAGCAGGGTTTTCTTGTAAGCAATGACCACTTATTAATGGTTGTTTGACCAGATCGAGTAGCTTTTGTGTCTGGAAATTAATTTATGGAACTAGAAACCAGCACACCAGTTTCATGAAAATCCCACTTGTCAACTTGCTAGGAAAGTGAAAACACAACATCAAGAGCAATAAAATACTGAGCACGGCCATGAATCTGGTAGCCGGACTCAATTTTTACATTTCATCTTGTTTGATGGTACCGTGCCCTTAAAATCGTGAGATCTTGTCCCCAGAACTCCCACAATTCTCCCCTCCGAGGTGGTTATCCATTTAGTGACATTTCAGTGAACTTCCACTGCTAACCTGTAACGTTGAGGTCTCTGCAGTGTTTTCTTATTCAGTTGGTTGGTAATAGGAAGAGAGTGGAGCCTGGTGGTTAAGACCATGGATTCTCTCATCAGACAGGGTGCATGTCATGACTATGATACTAGCTGTGTGGTCTTGAGCAAATTTCTTAACCTGAAAGCCTCAGTTTCCCCATCTGGGAAATGGAAATAATAATAGTTCCTACTCCATGTAGGTATGTGATGAAACAAAAGAATGTATTCGCAGTGTGGTCAGCATAGGTCTTAGGAGAGTGATTGCTCACTAATATTCCTCCTCAGCAGCAGGAGCCTTTGGGGTTCCTACTGCATCTGCTTTATCCCAATAACCCCCCTTCCCTCCGAACCCTCCGCCTGCCTACAGGACAGACCTCCAATGCATGATCCCTCTTCCCATTCCCTGGTGAATGGGAATATTGCCATTGCCCTGGGGTTTCTCCCACCTGCACTGAGGGAGAGATAGAGGCTCAGAAGGAAGGCACCGCTCTGAGATCATGCAGGCCTTGCAAATCTAAGGCCAGATCACCCTTGCTTTGATGTTTCTTTGGTTGCATTTTATCCATGTGGCTCTGAAAAGGGCTGGTGAAGAAAATGAGCACCTGGGCACAAATAGTCCCATTCCTCATCTCCACGAATGGCTATTTGCCCATTAATTCCCTTTGCGCCCACTCTCTCATGCCTTCATTTTCCCTATGCAATTATGCGTCCTAAATCCTTTCAGAGAGGAGAAGGCATGCATCCCCAATAGCATTTTGCATCTACAAATCAAACGTAAAATTGGCACCTCCTGAAGGTTCCCCACAAATCACAGTGCATTTGAAATTACAGGCACAAGACAGAGGGAATTTTCCACCGGGTCTGCAAAGGTTTTCATAAAGCTGTTTGAGAATAGTAAGATAGTCCCCAAATCTCCCATTCTGACACCATTTGCTATTATTGTAAAATCATTGTTTGCTGAGCTTACATAATTTTTTGGCTATCAATGGAAGATCTTTTCCAGGACTCCATAATCTCTCTTCCTGCTGTGTGATGCTCTACAAATAAAAATGTAACAAAAGGACACCAGCTATCATGAATATGAGGCTGTACATTCAGATTACTTCTGAGCACTCAAAACTGACTTGTTAAATGATCATATGTCAGTAGACCCAGGTGTCTTGGTAAACCTTACCATGGAGATGCCAAGGGCCAAGTCTTAGCTTTCTAATGCACAATGTCCTTCTCGGTAGAGATATATCTTTAATAGGCTTTGGATTTTACTCCAGCTTTCCTGAAAGTCACACGCATGAACTTAGCAACTGTCCCATTAAAGGAATATTAGAGTGCTATTCCTTAGCATTCTAGGCATTTGTGAGGAACTATAGCTCCCGCCAAATAAGAAACCAAGGAGGCCCAAGCTGGTTTGGCTCAGTGGATAGAGCGTCAGCCCACAGACTGAAGGGTCCCAGGTTCAGTTCTGGTCAAGGGCACGTACCTTGGTTGCAGGTTCCCCGGCCCTGGTCAGGGTACATGCAAGAGGCAACCAGTCTATGTGTATCTCTCACATGGATGCTTCTCTCTGTCTCTCCCTCTTCCTTACACTCTCTAAAAAGTGAATGGAAACATATCCTCGGGTGAGGATTAACAAAAAAAAGGAAGCCAAGGAGGGTTAGGTAGCACGAAGGGCATCATTGGGCTTTTCCTGTATCCATTGCCTACCGTTCATGCACGTGTAGACGGATTGCTCTTCGGTGGGATGTGGAAAGCCCTTGCCCCAGTGGAAATCAGGTGAAACCTGTGACCTGGTGTTGATATTTCATCTCTTCCTGTCTTGCAGGCTACGCCCAGGAGGAGCAGCTGAAGGACCAGGAGGAGATAAAAGAGGAAGAGGAAGAGGAGGAAGACAGCGGTTCCGTGGTCCAACTCCAGAGCAGCAATGACCCCGGGACAGACGAGGAGCTAGACATGGGCCCGGAGCCAAAGGGCTGCTTCAGCTACCAGAACTCCCCAGGCAGCCACTTGTCCAACCAGGACGCGGAGAGCGAGTCTCTGCTGAGCGACGCCAGTGACCCCGTGTCCGACGTCAAGAGCGTGTGCGGCCGGGATGCCCCGGACAAGACAGCCGGCGCTCGGCCCAAGCTGCCCGGGGAAGCCCACAACTGCATGGACAAAATGACGGCCGTCTACGCCAACATCTTGTCTGATTCCTACTGGTCGGGTCTGGGCCTGGGCTTCAAGCTGTCCAACAGCGACAGGCGGCATTGTGACACCCGAAATGGCAGCAGCAAGACGGATTTTGATTGGCACCAAGACGCTCTGTCCAAAAGCCTGCAGCAGAACCTGCCCTCCAGGTCAGTGTCGAAGCCCAGCCTGTTCAGCTCGGTGCAGCTGTACCGGCAGAGCAGCAAGGCGTGCGGGAGCGTCTTCACCGGGGCCAGCAGGTTCCGCTGCCGCCAGTGCAGCGCCGCCTACGACACCCTGGTCGAGCTGACCGTGCACATGAACGAGACGGGCCATTACCAAGACGACAACCGCAAAAAAGACAAGCTTCGGCCCCTGAGCTACTCCAAGCCCCGCAAGCGGGCCTTCCAGGACATGGACAAGGAGGACGCCCAGAAGGTGCTGAAGTGCATGTTCTGTGGCGACTCTTTCGACTCCCTCCAGGATTTGAGCGTCCACATGATCAAAACGAAACATTACCAAAAAGTGCCTTTGAAGGAGCCAGTCCCCACCATTTCATCAAAAATGGTCGCTCCAGCGAAGAAACGCGTCTTTGATGTCAACCGGCCATGTTCCCCGGACTCCACCACGGGGTCGTTCGCAGACTCGTTTTCGTCCCCGAAGAGCAGCAGCCTGCAGCTGTCCTCCAACAACCGCTACGGCTACCAGAACGGCGCCAGCTACACCTGGCAGTTCGAGGCCTGCAAGTCCCAGATCCTAAAGTGCATGGAGTGTGGGAGCTCCCACGACACCTTGCAGCAGCTCACCACCCACATGATGGTCACAGGCCACTTTCTCAAGGTCACCAGCTCTGCCTCCAAGAAAGGGAAGCAGCTGGTGTTAGACCCGCTGGCGGTGGAGAAAATGCAGTCTTTGTCGGACGCGCCGAACAGTGATTCTCTGGCTCCCAAGCCATCAAGTAACTCAGCTTCCGACTGTGCAGCTTCCACGACTGAGATAAAGAAGGAGAGTAAGAAAGAAAAGCCAGAGGAGGCCAACCAGGAGGAGAAAGCCGTGAAAAGCGAGGACTATGAAGACCCTCTACAAAAGCCTTTAGACCCCACAATAAAGTATCAGTACCTGCGGGAGGAGGATCTGGAAGACGGCTCCAAGGGTGGAGGGGACATCCTGAAGTCACTGGAAAACACCGTCACCACCGCCATCAACAAGGCCCAGAATGGGGCTCCCAGCTGGAGCGCGTACCCCAGCATCCACGCCGCCTACCAACTGTCGGAGGGCACCAAGGCCTCCTTGCCTCTGGGCTCCCAGGTGCTGCAGATGCGGCCTAACCTCACCAACAAGTTGAGGCCGATTGCTCCCAAGTGGAAAGTCATGCCCCTGGTTTCCGTGCCCACGAACCTGGCCCCGTACACTCAAGTGAAGAAGGAGCCAGAAGACAGAGAGGAAATGGTGAAGGAGTGTGGGAAGGAAAGTCCCCGCGAAGAGGCCTCATCTTTCAGCCACAGTGAGGGCGAGTCCTGCTCCAACAGCGAACCCCCTTCCGAATCCAAAAAGGCTGAGCCTTGTCCCCCGAAGGAGGAGGACAAGCCGATGAAAGAGGGCGGTGAGAAGGAGAAACCCCAGCCCCTGGAGCCAGCGTCTCCCCTCAGCAATGGGTGCGCCCTCGCCAACCACGCGTCGGCCCTGCCGTGCATCAACCCGCTCAGCGCGCTGCAGTCCGTCCTGAACAACCACCTGGGCAAAGCCACGGAGCCCCTGCGCTCCCCTTCCTGCTCCAGCCCCAGCTCAAGCACAATCTCTATGTTTCACAAGTCAAGTCTCAGTGCCATGGACAAGCCGGCCTTGAGTCCTGCCACCGTGAGGCCGGCCAGCGTGTCCAGGCGCTACCTGTTTGAGAACAACGATCAGCCCATCGATCTGACCAAGTCCAAAAGCAAGAAAGCCGAGTCCTCGCAAGCACAATCCTGCACGTCCCCACCTCAGAAGCATGCTCTGTCTGACATCGCCGACATGGTCAAAGTCCTCCCCAAAGCCACCACCCCGAAGCCCGCCGCTTCCTCCAGGGTCCCGCCCATGAAGCTGGAAGTGGACGTCAGGCGCTTCGAGGATGTCTCCAGTGAAGTCTCGACGTTGCATAAAAGAAAGGGCCGGCAGTCCAACTGGAACCCTCAGCACCTTCTGATCCTGCAGGCTCAGTTTGCCTCCAGCCTCTTCCAGACGTCGGAGGGCAAGTACCTGCTGTCCGACCTGGGCCCCCAAGAGCGAATGCAGATCTCAAAGTTTACGGGACTCTCGATGACCACCATCAGCCACTGGCTGGCCAACGTCAAGTACCAGCTTAGGAAAACGGGAGGGACGAAATTTCTGAAAAACATGGACAAAGGCCACCCCATCTTTTATTGTAGTGACTGTGCCTCCCAGTTCAGAACCCCTTCTACCTACATCAGCCACTTAGAATCTCACCTCGGTTTCCAAATGAAGGACATGACCCGCATGGCCGTGGAGCAGCAAGGCAAGGTGGACCAAGAGATCTCCCGGGTGTCGTCGGCTCAGAGGTCTCCGGAAACCATAGCTGGCGAAGAGGACACAGACTCTAAGTTCAAGTGTAAGTTGTGCTCTCGGACATTTGTGAGCAAACATGCAGTAAAACTCCACCTAAGCAAAACGCACAGCAAGTCACCCGAACACCACTCTCAGTTTGTAACAGACGTGGACGAAGAATAGCTCTGCAGGTATGGGTTTGCTCCCAGGTGGTGTGACGGTGGCCTTGGAGGAGTTCCTTGAAGGGAGATGGGTCTCTTAGGCAGCTAACGTCTCCCCGTACCAGAGGCCAGTAGCCTGCTGGAATAGGACTTAGTTTTACAAAGACTAGAACCTGATAAATAAGTCCTATCTGTTCTCTCATTCTCTCCACTGTAGACTTGGGCATTAGCATGAAATGGGTTTAGGGAGATGGAGCTCAGAGGTTCCCGCTTCATGATTCGTGATCCCCGTAGTTTCCCAAGGCCCAGCTTGCCAGGGCCGCCCAAGGCTACACGTCATTTTAATTAGTAAGTACTAATTTCTCTCCCATCCCATTTCACCACCTCCCCTGCCCATAGGAATGCTAATGACTTAGAAAGTGAGACAGAAAAGGCCATCCACAGAATAAAGACTGTAGAGTTCCTGGGGGCAGCCACTGTGCAGATTTCTTAATCAGCTTATGAGTAGTTTAAAGTTGTCTTTATCATCATTACTTGTAATCAATGCTTTTTGCAGCTACTGTCAGCACTCGCTCCCTTCTGCCCCCTTCCCTTTGCTCATTCCTCCCTTAGGCTTCCCGTGAATGAGCATCTGCCCTGAAGTCAAATGGTAGAAAATAGTATTCTCTGCACAACACTGAGATGAAAAGAGAGGAGGCTTATCTTCTTCTCTCATCTTCCGTTTTCCCTAGGATAGACTAATTCCAGAGTCCACCTGTACGGAAGATGGGTGCGATGCATGCCCTTGACATTGTATTTTACAGAAAGAAGCAAGTGACTTTCTGCCCACCCATTGCCAATGCACATGGGTCTCCCAGCTTCAAGATGACTTGCATCATGTATCATAGAAGCTCTGTGCCTTGTAGAGTCACCAGTGCCCAGACTGTCAATGTCGTCCCAGAAAGAGGGCAGAGGCCAAGGTCAGATACCTTGGCAGACTAGTCACACTGGCCATCTTCAAATATGTTCGAGGCTGGGTCTTAAATCCCCTTTCTCTCAGTTTGAATCTTCTCTGCTGCCTTTTCTCTTCCCTCCATCATGACACCGCCCCATGTGTTAGGGACCCTCACATATATTCAGGGTGTCTTCCACCACAGGCCACACCCCACGCTGACTTAAAGCTTTGGCATTTGCTGGTCGAGTCTATGTTATGCTAGGTTACAGATGAGCTCTTTTGATTATTCTCAATAAGACATGAACAGCTATGAATAACAAGGTAGAAGCCCTCACCATCTCCAATGGTCAGAGTGTTTGTTTTTCAATAGGAGGCTTTCAGGTCAAGCCACAGAGGTATGAGCACTAGCAGGGTCCAGGTGGAGACAGGTGTGTATATAACATGGCTTCAGGCTCACTTCCCAACAGGGAGGGAGGCTGGCAGAGTATGAGATGGTCACATGAAATAAAGGGTTAAAACGTCGGATCTGGGACTTTCAGTGAAAATATCTAAGACCTTGTGATAAAGGGTATGCCATCCCATAATTCCAATGGCTCTCTGGGCTCCAATGAAGACTATTGTTTTGTTTGCATGTTTTTATCATGATAATTAAAACGTGTTACTGGCAGATTCATCTCTTGCTTTCTAAGCATGATTTGTTCAGCTCGTACTATTGAAAGAAACGCTGAAAATCATCTATTGAATCTACACATGAGCTTGGAGCTCGGCAAATCTATTTATTTGCTCTATAACATTTTAAGTTTTATGTAACTTGCTATTACGCTTTTCTGGTCCTTCCAAAACAAATGGTGAATATACACAGAATATCCAAAGAGAAGAGACATGTTGCCAATCCCATAGTAGTAGGTTCAAATCATGGTGAAAAGGACAAATAGGTAATGTTTATTTGTGCTACAATAAAGACCAATTTTCCACCTGCTAGGTTTGTAATCATTTTTTAAATTAATATCACTGCCCAAACATTGTGATGTGGAAGTGGAGGGGGGGGGAGAAAAAGAAAGCCAGCCATGGTCAAAATCCGAAATGTGCTTACCTGTTCTAGGGAAGCAAAGGTAAACCAATAGTTGGGGGGAAACCCACACAAAAGGTACTGACAGCTGTTAAATGCGTAGATAGGAGAGCTCTGTTCCTCATCTCTCTGCATTTGTTCAGGAATAAATATCTCTGGTTTGGTCTTTTGGAGCCCATATTACAGGGTTATCCTTCTGTGAAATCTGCTCCATCCTGACAGAGACACCGTGAGTCTGAGATTCTGAGGGGGGGCACCGCAGAAACACAGGTTTGAGTATTTGGGACTCATTTCAAGCCATTGGAGTGTGCGTGTGCTGTGTGACCATGAAATCGGTGCGGGTGTTAAGTGTGTTTATGGTGTTCTAAACATAGGCCCATCTGCCGGAACGGTTTCCCATGGCACAAAGGTGGCTTTCAGAGGCTTTGGTCACTTAGAAAAGAATCCCTGAGCCCTCGGATCCTCTTTTGGAACAATATTTATGCCAGACCTTGCCCACTGCTTAGAATGATGCATATATGGTTTTAAATGATCGCCGAACGAGATCACTGCTATCTGGAACTCTGATTCTCATTGGTGTGCGCAACAGCATAAATCGCACAAAATGACGTGGCATTTTAGAAAGCATGATCAAGATTTTGCGAGAAAGTTGGGGGCTTTACTGTATCTATATTCCCTATAGGATGCCAATTTTGACCTGAATTTTCTTTCCATTCTTGGGTATGTCTTAAATCCTGCAAATTGCTCTGCCAAATGTTAAATACCACTTTTCATTAAATAATAATTAGCAAATATTAAATGTGCATCCCTATTTTAGGAGAGCAGTAATGTGAAAGTATTTCAATTGGTATTGGTATATACTGTACCTTTAAAAACCACATGCTCTTAAACAATAGAAATTAAATAAAAAGCAAATTAATGAATCTAAAATTCATAAGGACTTGAAATTTTAGTCATTACCATGTGATATGGTGTATACATTTAGCAGCACATTTAGCCTTGAAATCGGTGGCAGGAATGAATTCTAGTCCAATGAGCTGCCACCTTTGATGTGGATGATTTAATAAAAATCCATGTTCATGGTGAACAGCATGTAAGGTTGCCAGATAAAACATAGGATGTCCGGTTTAATTTGAAGTTCAAATAACTGAAAAACATGGGTGTTTTTTTTTTCAGTTAAAATGTGTGTGTGTTTTTTTCAGTTCAGGATAAGTGTGTCCCAAATAGTACAGTAGCCATATTTATACTAAAAAAAAAATTCATTGTTTATCTGAGATTCAAATTTAAGTGGGAATTCTGTATTTTTATTGGCTAAATCTGGCAACCCTAACAACATGGATTATCTGACGATCTGGAAGAGCAAAATGGCTAGTCTAATTTTTTTTAAATTACAGTTGACATATAATAGTGTATTAATTTTAGGTGTACAGCATAGTGATGAGACATTTATATAACTTACAAAGTCTAATGCCCACCTAACATCATACAAAGTTATTACAATACTAGAGGCCCAATGCACAAAATTCATGCAAGAGTAGGCACTCCTTCCCCCATCTGCTGGCACTGGCTTCCCTCTGGCACCTGGGACCTGGGCTTCCCTCACAGCCTCGGCTTCATCTGGAAGGTCATCCAGAAGGACATCTGGTCTAATTAGCATATTACACTTTTATTATTATAGATTATTGACTATATTCCCTATGCTATGCTTTACATTCCCACGACTGTTTTTATAACTGGCAATTTGTACTTCTTAATCCCTTCCCATTTTCACCCATCCCCCAACCCCACTCCCATCTGGCAACCACCAATTTGTTTTCTGTATTTATGAGTGTATTTCTATTGTGTTTGTTCATTTCTTTTGTTTTTTAGAATTCACATATAAGTAAAAGCATATGGTATTGGTCTTTGTCTGACTTATTTCACTTAGCACAATACCCTCTAGGTTCATCCATTTTGTTGCAGATGGTACGATTTCACCCTTTTTTATGGCTGAGTAAGATTCCATTGTATACATGCACCATGTCTTCTTCATCCAATCTCCTATTGATGGTCACCTAGGTTGCTTCCATATCTTGGCTATTGTAAGTAATGTTGCAATGAACCTAGCAATGCACATGTCTTTTTAAATTAGTGTTTTTGGATTTCTTTGGATAGATACCCAGAAGTGGAATTACTGGGTCATAGGTAGTTCTATTTTTAATTTTTTGAGGAACCTCTATACTGTTTTCCATAGTGGCTGCACCAATTTACAATCCCACCAATGAGGGTTCTCTTTTCTTCACATCCTCACCAACAGTGTTGTTTATTTATGGTTGATATGTGCTGGACTCATTCATATCTATAAGAGGCATGGACCTTCCTTCAACCATTAAATAAATCTTATCTTCCCTCCCTTCTTCCTTCCTTCTCTCCTTCCTTCCCTCTGTCCTTTCTTTCTTCCTTCCCTCCCTTCTTCCATCCTTCCTTCCTTTCTGACCCCCCACCCCCCACATTGTTTTCACCCTTCTCATCACATCAGTGGTGCTTTGGCTCCACAGCAGTCCACATGGACATGTAGTGGTGACCCAGCAGTTGTGCTGACTGTATAGCAGCCCAAGTGCCGGGCCTGCCCCAGGCGCTTCATGAACATTTTTTCACTGTATTCCCACAACAGCCTGTGAGGGAGAGGTGGATTCAACCAAATTCCAGGAGAGGAAATGGAGGCAGAGAGTCTGCGTGAATTCCCCAAGATTCCACAATCTCTGAGCCTCACTCGTTTTCACCTAGCCAGAAAGCCATCACTCCATGCCCGGCACGGTGCTGATCCCAGGGAATGAACCAGTGGCCAGGACAAGAGAACGCCTTTGAGCCTAGTGACAGACATAGATGGGCAGGCTGGGGGAAACATTGAATGGAGCCCATGGGAGGGCATCTGCCTACTTCAAGGGAAGTGAAGAGGGGGCTGGTGTTTAGGAGGCAGCGTGATGTTAGGGGAAGACTCTGGCTGCCAAGGCCCGGAGCCTGAGGTCAAACCCCAACTCCTGAACTCTGGTTGATGTGCCCTGTAAAATGTGGACATATGAAAGTTGTGAGGATTAAGTAAATGTATGCAGTTCTTTTCCATAAAGCCTAGCACATAGTAGGTTCACAAGAAAATCTTATTCTAGACTGTCACTACAGGGTCCTGCCATGTCCCTCAGCCGCCCCTGAGATATATAAAACTTGCAGTCTTGCTGGCCATGGTGGCTCAGTGGTTGAGCATCGACCTATGAACCAGGAGGTCATGGTTCGATTCCCGGTCAGGGCATATGCCCAGGTTGCAGGCTCAATCCCCGATCGTGCAGGAGGCAGTGGATCAATGATTTGCTCTCATCATTGATGTTTCTGCCTCTCTCCCCCTCTCCCTTCCTCTCTGAAATCAATAAAAATATATTTGAGGGGGGGAAAAAACGCTTGCAGTCTTCCCAGCTGATTAATGACTGGGCAGGTGATCCATGGGCCCTCAACCTGCGGTTTAATTATAACGATCTCAACTGACAGCAAAACTAGCACTCAGTGGCCTCTTCCTCTGAGCCAGGCATGCTTCTTCATCTCATCTTGATTTTGCAAATAGCTCAAAAGGTTTCATGATTTGTCTGAAAACACACAGTAAATGTACAGGTGACATTCAAACCCAGGGCCGCCCCATACTCACCAACTGGTCTCGGCCCCTCGGTTTCTCCTCCACCTTGCCTGCTGGTTTCTGGGTGCTGCTCAGGCTAGGCGTACACATTCAACAGTGCAGAGAAAAGGCTGTAAATGTGCCTCAGCGTTGAGTGATGAGCAAGGAGCAAGGCCTCTCCTTGGAGGTGCAACTGCGATCCAAATATTGCAACTCAGGGGCTGGGGCCGGACCTTCAGGATAAAGCCCCGCATCCTCACTCCCTGAGTGTTGATGTCCTTGTTCGGTGAGGTAATCATACATTCACCATATGGTGCAAACCAAGAACTGGCCCAAATTCCGGTGCAAGTAGACGTCTAAGAGTTTTGTGTTTTTTTAAATCCTCATCCTGACTTTCTGGAATTCATTTTGAGAAACAGGGTCAACCACAGGATGATAGCATTTCCAGTGCAAGCAAGAAACAAACGCCCCGCCTCTCCTAAGGTTTCCACTTGACCAGGCGACGGCTTGGCGCCCCTTGCGCTTGAGTGCGCTCCGTCTCGGTCGCACGTCCCCCTCATTTGGACTCCTGAACGCTTAATCCTGACGTGTATAATTTGGTGCTTTAATATAGAGTAACATTATTTTTCATTTACTCCAATCTGCCATCAGTATCATCTTTTCATTTAACCAGATGCAATTCTTTTTTCTTTCGCTAAATTGAAAATCCATGAGCGACAGGGAGTGCAATGTTTTAATTAGCTCATATTTTTTATATGGATTTATGTCTTTAAAATACATTTGTGTAATTCTTCAGCTAAATTAAAAACGTCTTTCTGTGAAAGTGAGGAGGGGAAAATAAAGAGCTAAATGGTGTCATTAGCTTAGGTAGATGCGGGTGGAGAACAGGGGCTAGAGAGGGACAGCCTCTGCCCCTGGAGCACCTCCTGGGCCGATTTTGAACTTGCCCTTTATTTAAAGAAGTCTTTCTCTATAACGATTTCTCGAAAATGGCTTCAGCAGGGATTTTTTTTTTAAGGCCCCGAGTAGGTAAACAAGCAGTTACCTTCAAGGAACTAATTTGAAACTGAACCCGCCACGGAACAAAACAGGGGAAAAAAAAAAAAGAAGTCGTAATGATAAACAGTTTTCTCCTGCATTTCTCTCTTTGTCTTTTTAAAAAAAAAAAAACTATCAAGTTTAAAGCTTTCTGCAGTGCTTTTTTGCCTGCCTTATAGGAGACAAGTGACATTGCGTGGTAAATGGGAGAAAAAGCCATGCAGAACTGAAATCTCTCTGGCGTTGACACTAACTTGCCCTCTATTGTTGGGAGCGAGCAGGAGCTCATGATTGTTCATCAGACGGCCTTAATGCGGCTCCGGCGTTCAGCTATAATTTCTGCTTGCATTTATAATTACTGTCATAGACTGCACACCTCGGTGAGCAGATTAAAGCTATAAACTATTTAGCCGCGGCTCTAAGACGAGGAACTTGATTTGTCTGGCAGGAGTTATTTGTTAGGGAGCTTGACACATCACATAAAAATGACTCGACTTGATGAAGAACAATGCGGTTTTAGCAATGCGGGGATTTTAAATCAGCCCCGACGCCACGCCCTGCAAGAGTCACAGGGCCGCTTGTTAAATGATATGTAGGCCACGGAGGTGACAGAGTGAATGCGCTAAGGGAACCAAAATAGAAGAGGATTTGGGTGCAGTGGCTGTATCTCCTGACGCTTCCCCAGAAGGCACAGGAGTTGGTTGGAAGCCAGTGTCATGTCCTCTGAGTCAGTCCCGGGTGAAGGTATCAGGAGGCTCACCTGGCAGGACACAGGGATGCCACGAGCCAAAGGCACAGGTCACATTCTGGGGGAGGGCGGGTCTTAGGGAACTTGTGCTGCTGTTGACAACGTTCACCTCTCCAAACCCAGGAGGCCAGGGCGATGCAGAGAGGAGAGGTCATGCTTTTTTCCTGAACACTCTTTATTTCTTTGTTTATTTCCTGTGTTTGACTTGCAGGAGGCACAGGATATGTGTAGGCGTGGAGGGCATTATCCTAGTGGGCTAATCTCCTAGTGATGCTGTGAACACTCAAAAAGTAATCCGAGTTCAGGTTGATGAGAGGGGCTGGCTCCGCCTCCGCCTTTCTCCGCCTTGGTTCCTGGTGAAATGAGCTCGAACGGTGCCTCCACGCTGGGCCTGGCCCACAAAGCAGGTGCCCGACCAGCTTCACTCTCCTCTCTGTTTTCCACCTTGGCCACCTGCTTCAAAAAAGATGTGTTTGCTGAAGGCTTAAGTCCAGCTGTGGGATGGGTTGTGCCATTTCATTTGAAGAAATAAGGAGAGACTTGAGTGCAGATTTAACTGAACAGCTCTGGGGTGTAACATGAAAGAACCGGGCGGAGCTGGGCTGCCCCTGAGACGGGACGGAAGGAGCTCTCATCTGCCGCTCTTCCCCTCTGAAGCCCCCTTCTCTCTCTGCACCAGCTACAGTCCGGGTCACCGGTGCCGACCACACTTAGCAAGGTCTGCCTTGGCATTCTCAGTGCAGAGGTTGGTGGTGGTGCTGATGAGGAAATGTGCTGAGAAAAGGAAGTGCTTAACGCAGAGCCTGGCGGTGCCCACCTCACTGCCGTTGAC